GTGTGCGTGCGTGTGCGTGCGTGTGTGCGCGCGTTTGTTTGTTAGTTTGTTCGTTTGTTCGTTAGTTCGTTAGTTAGTTAGTTAGTTTGTTTGTTTGTTTGTTCCTTGGTTTGTGTGTGTTGTTGCTTTATAATTCTGTGTGTTTGTATGTGTGTGTGTGTTTGTTAGAGGCCACGGCTTGCTTATGGAGTTGGGCGTGTTGGGTGTTTTGGGTTCGTTATTTGTGTTCTCAGGTCAGGTATAGGTCTACTTGCAGCTTGTTTGCTTTTCGGGTGAAGGCGTCGCGGCTAAAACTTAAACCTCTAAGGCTCTCACCCCCTTAAGCCCAAGCAAGACTCTATTGTAGAAGCCTGAACATGTTTTCATGCATCCTTCCCCCGGGTTCCTGCTCATAGTTAGACTGACTTATGCAAAGAGATGATATTTTCGGGTTTCGGGTTTAGGGTTTAGGGTTTAGGGCCCTGAAAAGGTAGGATTTCGAGGGTCAAGGTAGGCCGGAAGGCTGTCGGCCTTGGGTGACGGCTAGGGCACGGTTAGGGCCAGGGCATGGTCTGGTGCACATGCGGAAGCCGAAGGATGCAGGGTTGTGGCTTTGGGTTTATGCTCGGGAGTTTAGGGTTTAGGGTGATGATCTACAGTATGAGTCTTAGAATGCATCTAATTTAGGGGCCTTTGAATAGGGTTTTGGGGTATAGGATACTATACTTACAATCAGGAGCCCCAAAATAGTATTCGTAGTTATTTAGGCCCCTATAAGATCCTGAAGAGCTCGATGGATCTTGAAAAGTCAGTACGAGCGTATAATCTTGAAAGCTTCATTCATCGTTGGTGTTTCAGGGCGTTTTGGACTGATATCTCGGCACACCAAAACATACACCACGAGATCCATTACCCGAAAGCGAGATTTCAACTTAATTTCAACCCTTCAACACGATTCCGTTGAATTCACCAAAAATCGATGCACACCCGAACCCCCCCGGGCCCTGCATGTACGTAGAAGGAGGCGAACAACAGAGTGCCGGCAGCAGGTGCACGAGGGAAGAAGTTTCATGAGCTATTTCGGACGTCCCTTGGATTTTTGTTGTTTGAATATAGCAGCCGTAAAAATTACCTCTACTATTCTTGGCTCCGTAGTATAATTATAGTATATTATACCACCAAACCTATTCTAACTATTAAGGTCCCTACATTAGGCTCATGGATCTAGGATCTGGGGCATGCTTATTATAGCCATGGCCTTAGTATGGCTTTTGAGTTCTGTGAAGTTCGGACTCCGTGGTTTACTCGACTGAACGAAGTCTATGCAACCTAGCACCTGCTGAGAGTAGCGCCCCTTGGAAAACTGGACAGGTAAGTAAGCTTGAGGAGCTTAGCGCTGTAGATTTTAGTATGGACATACAAGTTAAATCTTCTCTCAGTTACAGATTGTTACGTCCCTTTTGCCGAGTTTTCCTTGTGCTGTGAGCTTTAGGTTTTAAGTTTTGCCAGAGGAGGTTTAGGCTTCGGAGTACACAGGTAGCTCTGGATTCATTCTAATATAGGGGCCTGACTCATTTCAATAGGGTTTTGGCGGTATATTATACTTTAATTACAAGAGGGGACGCCCAAAATAGTATTGGTAATTATTTAGGTCCAGGCAGGGGTCCTTTCGACTGTGCCCTGGGTCAACTATTGCAGGTGTTCGTTTCGATGCCTGCTGACTTTGTCGTCGGGCTGCTAAATTAGAGTTCCTGGTGGGGTCCTGATCCACAAATATTGCATTATGATGAACGGCGCCTTGCAAGTATTCACAACAACCTTGCTACGTTTTGAAACATGCAAGTTCCAAATGCTTATCAAAATGCCAGTTACTGAGCTTACTCTTTCACTCCAATTCGGTTTTGGCACCGACAACATCTTGAGCCCTCTTTGTTCCGCCTTGTAGCCGCCGGCATAGTCACCGCAGTTCATTCGATCGCCGGGGGTCGTTGTCCAATATCCTTACACCTCTTGTCTTTGGTACAAACCTTTGTTTAGGGTTTAGGGTTTAGGGTTCCCTATCATATCCTGCATTACCTTAGGACCCTAAACTAAGGGATTTCTGTTATATTCCTTATTCTGGGTAATGCAGGATTTATATCATCAACCGTATCCGGCCGCATCATTGCGACGGGGCGGAGTGGTTGGCAGGAAGCTCGCAACCCAATAGGACTCCTTCAGGGTCCATGTGCCCAGATAGTATGTACTTTGGCCTTAAAGTAGTCCCTATATAAGTACCTTGGGGCCAATGTATATACTATTTGGGTACCTGGACCCTCAGGGACTGTCTGCTGGCCTCCTGGATTTCCCGTGAGCGGCCTGAGGGAAAGCTTTCCCGCAAACATATACCCGAAACCAGAAATATAAAAGGCGGAATGATTAGTAAGTATACCATAATCCCCTATACTCCATATTACTATGATCAAGTAAATTACTTGATCATAGTATAAGGTACCCAGAAACCTATTCCAACTAGTGACCATAGAACCCCTGAAGCCCCTGCCCACAACCCAAGAAGTGCAAGCCCGAAGCCCTGAACCCTAAACTCTTCACCCTTAAACTTTAAGCCTTAAACCCTAACACCCTAAACAAACCCCAAACCCCCTAAACCCTAAGCCCCTGAACCCCAGATCCGGAATCCCAAACCCGACACCCCTAAACTCCAAACCCGAGACCCCAAACCCGAAACCCCTAAATCCCAAACCCGAAATAAATCTCAAACCCGAAACCCCTGAACCCCAATCCCGAACCCCCTTAAACCCTAAACCGAAACCCCTGAACCCTAGACCCTAACATGCGCAAGGAACAAGGACTGGAGCTCGCAAGGGCACAGAGGCCAAGCCGCTGGAGCTGTTGCCGTTCAGTCCGAGGATCACAACTCTGAGAACTACCCTAAACCCTAAACCCTAAGCCCTAAACCCTAAACCCTCAACCCTCAACCTCTA